TTTAGAAGAACCAGTAGATACTTTTAAAAGAGTACAAATTTTACATATTGAAAGAGAGAATAAAACAGGAAATCCAAAGTATGTAAATGTAAAATGTATTGATAATGGAGTCATTTTGAACAAAGTAAATGTATGTATTTAATTAATATAACAGTTAAAAAATTTATATTATGGTAATATAATTTTTATGTTAGGTATATAATTTACTATATATGCCAAAAGAACTTATAAAATATCCTATACAAGTATTTGAAGTATTTTTAGTTGGTATAGCTCCTCATGATGATGAATATGTTTGGAATAATTGTGCAATTGATACTGTATATGAATGGTTTAAAGAAAATGTTGACAATAGATCATATGTAATTGGAACGGTATGTTATATTATTTTTTCTTATTTTATAGTTTTTATAATTTTTACGAATACAATATAATATTGATTTAAATAAATAGGTAAATTTACATCTTGGAAATACAATATGGGTAGATAGTTTAAATGTTGGAACAAAATTGATTGGATATAAAGATTTAATTGGTTCATCTATAAAAACAGAATTATTATTAAAAGATCATGCTGTCAAAAATGATAAACATTTAAATCAGATGTATCAACTTTGTAGAGATGCTGGATTTCTACAAATCAATGGATATGATTTAAATCTTTAAATAAAAATTTATGAAAACATTTTCAAAAATCATTTCTATATTCTATATATATATGCTTTTTTCATTATTCATTAATGTAAAATAAAATATAATCATAAAAAAAAATATAACAAATATTTTAAATATTTATTATATGTATGTCATATTAAATACAGATAGTATGTGTGTATCATCAATTACCATAATATTAGTAAATTTTAACATTATTTTAATTTGATTTACCAGAAATAAAATTACGTAAAAAATTATTCAAGAATATCACTTAATTATTAACGAAACTTTATTAAGTTATAAAATTTGTTAAATTATAATTGCTTTTATATGTGAATAAAAGAGTTAATGATTAAATAATTAAAGTTAGTTATTTTTTCATATTTTTAAAAATAAAATGTATATATAAATTATATGTATAATTAAATTATATATTATGATTAAGTAAATATCTATGTTTAAAAATCGATTCATATTGGTTTAATTATTGAGATTTTTTTTATTTACTTTTTTACATATAATTATATAATTATAAATATATTAATTATTTTAGAATAAATTCATTTTTTCATTTTATTTCCATACATTTTTTTACATTAAATAATATAATATTATATAATTTTCTTGGAATTCTTAATTTATTAATATTATAATTTTTTATTTTATATAAATAATGCTGTAATAATTATTGTAAAAAAATGATGTAAAAAAAGAAAAAAAGAAGGAATAGAAAAGATATTTAAGAAATAAAACAATTGAAATAAATTAATTAAAATAATATTTAATTAAATTTAAAAATTAATATAATTAAATTATAATAACAATAAAATTTGATTATAAGTATAATTAAATTTCAATGTTAATTTTTGACTATTTATTTATAATCATATTGCTTGAGTAAAGTTTCGTCAATAAGTAAGTGGTTTACTTTGAAAATTCTATTAATCAGTATAAAGTACTACTTGAATAAGTTTAAAGAAATTATTTAGATAAATTTATAATTAAGTTTTATACAATAGTCAGGTACTCAGAAGCAAGTTGCATTGGATCAACATGATAAGAAGTAACTAAACGAACTTTCTGACCATCTTGTGTTGTAAATTCTATTGCTTGTTCATTTTCTGCGATCCCAGATTGTTCCGATTCTTCCATTTGATTAATAGTTGCAACAGCATTTGCATCTGTATCTTCATCCTATTACAAAATTATAATTATATATAATGAAATTATTATTATTAATATTGTATTTATGCTATACAAGAATTCATATGTTAGAATTTATGGATATATAATAATATAATTATTCTAAATAACAAATAAAAAACAAGTAATAAATAAAAGACAACAAATAATTATTTATTATTTGCAAATAAATTGTTATTTATTTGCAAATAATAAATAAATAGATTTATTGACATCTTTAAAAGATCAATTTTAAATATATATACAATACTAAAAAAGTTGATTTATAAAAATAACGAAGTTCATTTTTCAAATTACAAACAATTTAATTTTGGCCAAAATTGGCCAGTATTGTTCGTTTACCTGAACTTTTAAATAAAAAGTTTAAAAAAAAATTAATAATATACATATATTAATATTATATCAATTGAATTAAAAATACTACAAATTTTTTTTTTAATAATATATTAAACATATATTTTAAAATACAATATCGTATATTGTATATAATTATGTTAATAGAATTAATTATATTATATAAAATAAAATCTTGGCTATATAAATCTATGTAATAATTACAATACTATAATATACTATTGACTAACTGATTGAATTGTTTTATCTTTATCTAATCATTTCATTTAATGCAAAATTAAGTTATTTATAATTTAAAAAATAAGTTTAAATAATTTTTGCATATCAACTTTTATATATATTTCAGTGATTAGAAAAGGTATTTCTGATATTTCTTTATAAAAAAATTATTTATTTATAGATGTCATCATACAAAGAATTGTATGTTATTTTAAATTTAAATTTTTGATTAAAATGTGAAAAAAAATAATGTGAAAAAAAGTAACATTTATAATAGCAGTTAAATATTTTAGATTAATTAAAAACATTCTAATAAACATATTCAGAAAGAAATTATTTATAAAATTATATAAAAATAAAACAAATTGAAAAAATTGAAAACTAAATACAATATAATGATATTAAAAATGAAATATAATTAAGCTGAACTATGATAAAATAAATAAAAATAAATAATTTGCAAATTATAATATTAATAATGTTATATATTTTATATTATATATATTTATATATTATTTAATATTAATATATTTGTGGAATATCTTTGGAGAGATTAATTCTAAAACAAAAACAAAAGTTGATATATAAAAATTCGGTTGAGATTTATTTATTATAACCAATTTAAGTTTGTATTAGATAAAAGTAAAAAAAAATTGCGAAAATGGAAACAGAATAGCCTCAATTAACATTTTTGTATTTGTTTTGGTCTAGAATCGACTTCCCAAAAATACTTTACGAATATATTAATATCCTATATTTCTAAAAATCTAATTATAAGTACAAACAAAACATACATATAAATATATAAATATATTGTGTAATTTCGTCATGTTTTAGATTTCATTATATATATTTTTATAAAGAATTAAATAAAAAAAAAATGTTTTAATAAAAATTATTTATTTTCAAAAGGAAATATCATATATTATATAAACAATTTTTTTTTCAGATCAAATAGTTCAAATAGATCAAATAGAAGATTTTAAGATCAATTTTTTTTAAATGAAATCATAATTTGAATATATTAATCGATTTATCTAAGCATTTCCTATAAAAAAATATGTATTTATTTATATCGAAAAACCATTATAAAATATTTAAAAATATTGAGGTTCAATATTACAATTGAAAACCAGAAAGATGATAATCTTTTATAATTGCTAATATGATAGTTTAATATGTTATGTATATTAATATAAATATTAATATAAATATATAAAAACAAAAAAATAAAAATATGCATTTTCCTTAGCCAAATAGTCTCATTTACATTGCTTAATGTGTATATTATATTCTACCATGTTTAGTTTAATTAAAAATAAATACATATGTTAATAAAATGAATTCATGTGTTTTGTTTCTATATATTAAAAAATTATTCTACTGAATTAGAGCCAATTATAAGCGATTGATTATCTCTTTTCAATCTCTAAATTTTTTAATTTAAATATTTAAATTAATGATTTTTCGATATAAGTTAATATTTTTTAAGGTAAACGAATTCAAAATTATATAGTTTCATTTAAAAAAATGATCTTTATATAATCTCTATGCATCAATCTATAGAAAAATTATTAATATTGTATATTTCTATGAAGAAAACAATATATAAGTACAAAATTTCATTATTTTCTTCATTGTTTATAATCTTATTAAAATTACAATTTTTTTAAAAAAAGGACGATCAGTTTTTTCTTCATAAGTTCAGAAATAATATACTTTTATAAAATATTTATTATTTTATTATTTAATATTTATAAATTATTTTTTCTACATATTTTTAATATATTATTTTAGAAGTAATATATTTTTTATTAATTTTATTATAATTCTATTATTTTAAAACCGGACAGATTAAGACAAATTAGTCTTTTTTTCAAGGTATATTCATCTTTTGATTTATTATAATTAAAAAAAATGCCATTATTTATTAATTAAAAAAGTATTAATTTTACTGGAATTTTGTCTTGACATGTTGTTCTTTAATTGATTTCTTAGAATCTTTACTGTATTTAATTGTTATTATAATGTATCAAATTTTTCTTCTTAAAATATGAAGAAAAATAATAATCTAATCTTCAAATTTAGTTTTGGATTTATATATATTTTCAATAAAATATAACAAAACAACTTAAAGAAAGAATAAACTTATTATTATAAGTTATTTTTTTAACATCTAATAAAATCTACTCAAAATTGAGAATTAGCGCAGAAAAATTTCAAAGATGTTATTAATTATACTTTTTTATTTCTATTTTTTTTTTGTTCATGATTTATAATACCATGTATCTTTCAATAATCTAATGTTCAAAAATTAATTATTGTTGCTTTATATATTTTCAGTTATTAATAAAATTGATTTATTTTTCATTAATAATTCAAGAGATTGTATAATAAATATATTTATTTATTTTTTAATTAATTATTTATTTATTTATTATTATAATTATTTTTTTTATTCGTTCTAATAAAAACATTGTCTTACTTACTTTATTTGGCAACTAAAACAGGATTCATATATCAAATTTTTTATTTATTTTATATTTATTTTTATTG